AAGTGAAGATGGCATTTTTTATGCTTCATATGTCATTAGAAGATGATAATTTATGAGAAAGATAATTCCAGTACTAAATATGAATCTTCCTAATGATTAAATTTGAAGGACTCTGAGGTTCTCTCCTGCAATATTATTAAAATTCTTGTAATGTTTGCCTCGCGTATGATGACAGGAGGTATTGATCCACATCACACTTGGCCATGGAGTTCATGGGCACCGAAACTATTGACGATTTTTTCAGCGGGCAGGCTGCTGCATTGGCTGGTGGGACCACAATGCATATCGATTTTGTTATTCCAGTGAATGGGAGTTTATCCGCAGGCCTGGAGTCTTATGTGAAAAAGGCAGAAAGATCGATCACCGATTATGGTTTCCACATGGCAATAACTAAATGGGACGAAACCGTTTCAAGGGAAATGGAAGTTATGGTCAAGGACAAAGGTCTATCTCATTTTTTTCTCTTTTCTTGCTGTATAGTGGGTTTACTGCATTTGATTATATAAAGTCTAACTAATTTTCGTCGTTATTCTATAGGGATTAATTCCTTCAAATTTTTCTTGGCCTATAAGGGTTCGCTAATGATCAATGATGACCTTCTGATCGAGGGGTTCAAGAGATGCAAATCTCTTGGTGCCTTGGCCATGGTTCACGCGGAGTATGGAGATGCAGTATTTGAAGGGCAAAAGAGAATGATTGAACTTGGCATTGTGGGTCCTGAGGGTCATGCTCTTTCAAGGCCACCAGTGGTAAAAGTCATTTTTTTTTTTTAGTTCTAAGTATGGGGATACATCAAATTTTGATAGAGTCAAATAGTTTTCGCTTTTGCTGTTTTTTCTCATAATACGTCTCTTCATTACTTTGGCAAACCTATTATTAAATTGTAAACATGTCTGGAATTAAGTTTCATAGATTCTGCAGAATTTTGTATTACCTTCCCCAACTTAGATATCATTTTCCTTTCTGTGTGTGTATTGCGGCTATTCCTGTTGTTCTCCTATTGCTATATATGGTTCTCATTCCCCTGTGAATGGTTTTTGCGATCATTAAGGAGCCTTTACAGATTGGTGAGAGAAACATTCTTTTGAGGAAGTTCATTGTATATGCCCGCATTTTCTGGTTCTAGGCCACGCATAGCTGGTCACAGTGATCTGTCATTATGTCGAATTTGCCAAAGCAGAATTGATGAAATAAAAAATCTCTCTCTCCTTGAATTGATCTGATTCACTGTTTCGACATACCAGTATTGTGAGAATAAAACCTCACTTTTCTATTTACTTTGAATGATCTTAGATGCCATGTTAGGAACCAATAGCATTATACTAAGGCACTTATTAAAAGTACTAGACTTATGGTCAGTCTTGGTTATCATGTACTCGATTTTGTGTTACTTATTTTTTTGAGTAATATCCACTAATTTTGGTTAGACATCATGCAGCTAGAGGGTGAGGCCACTGGTCGAGCTATACGTTTGGCAGGTTTCGTGAACACTCCTCTGTATGTTGTCCATGTCATGAGCATTGATGCGATGGAAGAAATAGCTAAAGCTCGAAAATCAGGTTCAGCCTTACCAATTTTAGCTGGTTACATATCCCAACCTGCAGTGGCTTCTCACATTTTGTATTACACTCTGTGCCATATTTTTATCCCTTAATAAAAAAAAATAAAAATCATTACTATGTGAAAGCTTGCCCCAGATAACAAGCTTGTTGCTTTGTCGGTCATGTTGAATAAGTTTGATTCTTCTGATGGTAAATTCTCATGGAAGACTTTTAACTTTTATGCAGTTGTATGCTTGATTAAAAAATGAATTTGGCTACTGAAAGATGCTAATGGAATTTCATCTTGAAGTCCCATTTTTTATGTGAGTAAAAAAAATTTACACTTGCTCTTGCATGCAGGTCAGAAGGTTATTGGAGAGCCTGTGGTTTCAGG